TTCTCTTAAATATTTTCTCCATATGTATTATAAAAAACTTCAGACAATGTATACTTTACACTTCAAACATGAAACAAAATTTAGAACACTCAGGGGAAGAAGGAAAGTCTATTGTATTTACCCATATTTTTGATTATCATGTTCTTTATTCATTTTCAATATTTCCACGTTCCTTATTTTTGGTTTCTCTTTTGTTTCCAGAACTTCCTTTAGCCATTCTTGTCGAGTAGGTGTGCTGATGACAAATTATCTTAGTTTTCTCTTGTCTGAGAACGTTTTTATTTCTCATTCATTCCTGAAAGATAATTTCTTTGTATTTAGAATTCAGATTGACATTTCTTTTATCTCAGGAGTTGAAAAATATTGTGCCACTTTCTTCTGGCCCCCATGGTCTCTGATGAGAAACCTGCTATCATTTTAATTGTTTTCCCCCTAAATTTAGGTAAGATGGTGTTTTTTTCTTGATTGTTTCAGGACATTCTGTTTTTAGTTTTTAATTTGATTATTTTGTATCTTGGCACAGATTTCTTTGGGTTTTTCTTTTTTAGGATTTTACACAGCTTCTTGAATCCATAGGGTTGTTGTATCAATCATAGGTTGTTGGGGTATTTTCAGCCATTATTTCTTTGAATACTGTTTTAGCCACATTCACTTTCTTCTGTCCTTCTGGACCTAGGATTGTTAGACCTTTTTTTATAGTCACTCAGCTTCCTGAGGTTCTGTTCATTTTATTTTATCTTTTAGTCTACTTTCAGTCTGTTTTGCAAATTTGATAATTTCTGTTGTTCTGTCTTCAAGTTCATTGTGTCATTCGTCTTCTTCATTCTGTGGTGGAGCCCATACATTTGCTTTTTCTATTTCAGTTATTTTTCATTTCTAATATTTCCATTTGGTTCTTTTTGTGTCTTCTAGTTCTTATTCTAAAACTAGAAATCTTAGCAATACATTTTTTTACTGTTACTAAAGGAAGACATCTTATTGTATTAGTTCTGCCCATCAAAGCTACACAAGAGTATTAAGGGATAGGTATTGAAATTCTTTCTATACTAAGAGAACTCGATGATTTATATTCAATATCTTATTTAATTCTTACAGTGACACTAATTTTTACTTATCCAACAAGTATTTACTTAGTGCTTATCAGATATGACACCTTTTTTTGGTTGATCAGATGTTTTTACTTTAGTCTCAAATACTTAAGTAGGTTATTTCCTTTATTTACAGAAAAAGAACTATATTTCTGCCTTTCTGATAGGTTACAAGCATAGGGACAGAAGATTGTGAGTTGAATTCTCCTGACTTCACATAAACCAGTCCAGAATTTTGATTTATAGGCGTCCTACTCTTTTTTGTCTAATTCACAGATTTTTTGATGATTTATTGTGGAACAATAATGTATTTTGAAAGGGTTACAGATTTTCTAAGGCACAAATACTCTTAATTTTTTGGCTAGGTATCCAGGCATGAGCATAAGTATCTGCTGAGCTGTCATCTCCATTTACTCTGGTGTGTTTTAATAATATTGTAATTGTTTATTTGTGGCATGAAAATGTTTGGGAAGCACTTCTCTAGTAACAGCTTAAAGAATGGAGTTCTTTCTATAAATTGCATTTTATGTGTGTTGGATAATAGCGTTTCATCCTCCTTCATAAATAAATTTCTTAAAAGAATTGTCTCCTGTAATTCTCACACACCTGGTGAGTCATAATCACCTGGGAGGCTTATTAAAACAGATTGCTAGGCCCACCAACAGAATTTTTAATTCATTAGATCTAGGGTGGCACCCAAGAATCTGCATTTCTAACATGTTCCCAGGTGATTCTGGTAATGCTATTTTGGAGATTTCACTGTGAGAACCGTTTGTCTATGCATTATTTTTCTACTTCTTCTCCTCCCTTTGGTTCTTCCATTACTTTCAGTCTGATTTCAGTTTTCATCATTCTACTCAGAATGTTCTGACATCTATACTGATCTTCATGGTTCCCAAATCAAATGCACACTTTTCAGCTATCTTATTTGATATATAGAAATCATTTAATATATTTGACTTCCCCTCAGTTTTAGGAAATTCTCTTCTCTTGGTTTGAAGATATTTCTCTATCTCTCTCCTTCCTTCCTGTTTTTTCTCTGCATGCTCTTTTTTTCTTGTTTTTGGAACAGAGTCTCATCTGTCACCTGGGCTGGAGTGCAGTGGTGTCATCATAGCTCACTGCAACCTCAAACTCCTAGGCTCAAGCGATTCTCTTGCCTCAGCCTCTTGAGTAGCTGGGACTACAGGTGTATACTACCATGCCTGGCTAATTTTTCTGTTTTTTGTAGAAATGGGTCTTGCTCTTGCTTAGACTGGTCTCAAACTCCTAGCCTCAAGCAGTCCTCCTCCTGCCTTGGCCTCCCAGAATGCTAGGATTATAGGTATGAGCCACTGCCAGGCCTCTGCATGCTCTTTCTCAATTTTTTTTTTCTCCCTCTCAAATCAGACTCTAAATGTTAGATTTCAGTCTGGGTCCTCATTTTACCCTCTGTTCCTAAATGAACTCACTCATTTTTGTCTGTATGCTATTAATAATAATTCCCAATTTATGTCTACAGATCAAAACTTCTAAGTGTTATTACAGCTTGACTGATTGCTTTCTTATATGCCTACTTGTTTCATATAATATATCCAAAGGCAACCACCATATTTAATAAATTCTAAGATGCATATTTTTTTATCATTTTAGTATCCTGAAATATATGACTCTTACAGTCAATGGCATCTTAGATTCTATGAATAGAAAAATTTCCTTTTACTCTTTCTTTACCATAAAGTACTGTTTCTCCAGTCTTCTCCATCTCATAAATTGTCTTTTCTTTCATTCACTTGTTAATACCAGAAACCTGGGGGTTAACCTTGAGTCTTCATTATTTCTTAACAGTGTAATTTCCACTTCAAAAACAGCTCTCATTTCCCTCTTTTCCTACCACGTCTATTACCATCACCTTTGTTCAAACCATAAGCACCTTTCCCAAGGATTATCGCAAATGCCTCTTAACTCTTGATGTCTTCCAACTCGGTTGCAATATAGCACTTACATTCATCTTTTAAAAATGTTAGATCATGTCATCATTTTACTTAAAAGTTTTCAAGGTTGAAATTCATAATCTTTAATATGGCAATAGGAGACCTATCTAAGCTGCTCTGTGCTGCCTCACCAGTTTCATTTAGCACTGTATACTCCCTCATTCTTTTTGGTCAGATATGCTGATGTTCCTTTAGTTTTTTTACAGCACATGTTGTTACTTCTTCCTGGAAAGCTCTTTTCTCCACTTTTCATCTTTCTGTCTCCTTACTTGCCTGTTAGGTCACATCTTTGAGTTTTCATTTTAAACATAATTACTTAGGAGGTGTTTGTTGACCCCCAAATCTAAATTAGGTCTTATACTCTCTCACGGTATTTATATATATATGTGTGTATATATATATATATATATATTTTTTTTTTTTTTTTTTGAGACAGAATCTCTCTTTGTTGCCCAGGCTAGAGTGAGTGCCATGGCGTCAGCCTAGCTCACATCAACCTCAAACTCCTGGGCTCAAGCAATTCTTCTGCCTCAGCCTCCCAAGTAGCTGGGACTACAGGCATGCACCACCATGCCTGGCTAATTTTTTCTATATATATTAGTTGGCCAATTAATTTCTTTCTATTTATAGTAGAGACGGGGTCTCGCTCTTGCTCAGGCTGGTTTCGAACTTCTGACCTCGAGCAATCCGCACGCCTCGGCCTCCCAGAGTGCTAGGTTTACAGGCATGAGCCACCGTACCCAGCCTCTCACAGTGTTTTGTTTTATTTTATGTGACACTGATGATTTATTGTGTTTATCCCCACAAGCATGTTTCATTATTTTAACCTTTACACTAGGGATTAGCACAATTACATAGTAAATAAAAGGTGTTCAGTAAATAAAGATTTTTAAATAGATGAAAGTTGAATTAAAAGATACATGTGTACATATAGACCAAAAATAAGTTTGTTTGCTTGTTTTTTTTTTTTCAAGTATAAACCAATAAGAAACATGTAAGTTTTAGGGAAAGGCTATACATTCTTAGTTGCCAATTACATAAATTGATAAAATTTTTAAATTTACTTTTAATAAGAATGTGATTTCTAAAAAAAGTTGCAAAACTGTTTCAAAGTAGTATTAAATAATTCATGATATTTAAGTAAATTTTATTTTTATTAGTAGAAATTGAATGTATCCTTTTTATTATTTTCATACAAAATTAATCTTTTGTGTAACCAGTTCTTTTTTTAACCACTCACATTTCTTAGGAGACTTCAGCTTTATAAAGAATATCATATAGCAATCTACGTACAACATTAATTATTTGGCTTTTTAAAATAGTGGTTATTGGCAAACCACTGTTTACTTTTTAAATGTCCCTTAATCTTTGGAGAACAAACTCATGTCTTTAGTCCAGCATGAAAGAAAAATAGAATGAGTTAGAGACTTAAGTGATAGTTAAGTGATAGTCTTTTTCTTTTTCAGCATATACTATTTTTTTTGGTTTTTATTCTGTTTATTATTAGCCTTTTCTCTTCTTGCAGGACTTTTCTTTTGTAACGTCTATTTAGAGGACATGAACCTTATATTCTGCATTCTATAAATTTTACTCATTTGGAATCTTACTTTTCTTTTGATATATAATGAGTGCTAAACACAAAGTTCTTGAAACCAGACAGGATCATACAGTTTAAAATGTTTATAATGTCTCTGTCTGTCCTTTCTTTCGCCGTCTCCTTTACTGCACTCTTTTGTCTGACTCACAGGAGACATGGATTACAACTGGTTGGATCATACGTCTTGGCATAGCAGTGAGGCATCCCCAATGTCTTTGGTGAGACATGTGGAGCCTTACTATTTAATTTTTGTTATCATTTCACTTTTCCTTTTTTATTTAAACCTTTGCATGTTTTCTTTTTTGTATCTTTTTTTTTTTTTTTTTTATCCCACACTTGTAGGGGACAGTCAAAAGGGAAAAAGAAAAACTAGTGAGCAGGCAGTTTTGTCGGACTCTAACACCAGGTCTGAGAGACAAAAGAAAATGATGTACTTTGGTGGCCACTCTTTGGAAGAGGATTTGGAATGGTCTGAACCTCAGATTAAGGACTCTGGGGTAGATACGTGTAGTAGCACAACCCTTAACGAGGAGCATAGCCATAGTGATAAGGTACTGAGATTGTGGAGCCTGCCTTTTAACCTGCTCATTTGGTCTTCGTTTGCTCTCTGTCACTCATTAAAACAGAACATAATAAAAGGACAGGGCATTTCAAGGGTCAATGTAGCATTTCTTAAGGTGCAGAAAAGAAAAACAAAACAAAACAAAACAAAACAAACAAACCAAAAACCTTTTACTTGCTTTGCTGTTTTATTGTTGACGGCATACCAAAAAATAAGTAAATAAAAATAAAACTTAGGAACAAAGGAATGTTTTATCTATGGTCGCATGAGAGAACTTTGTAATGTTACTATAAACCATAAATTTTACTAATGTTACTATAAACCACAATTTTTTGGATTGGCTTATTTGATTGCTGGCATATATTTTCCTTGGGATGAAAATTAAATTATTAATAGTTTGAATCCCAGGCAAAAGGGAGATAATTGGGTCTGTTTGCACAGAAAAAGTTGTTTTTCTTTTTTCCCTTTCACTGTCATTTTGCTCTTTTGTTTTATTGTCATAGCATTTTAATGTAGTATTAATTAGTATTAGAGCCATTGCCATCTGCTTTTATATTTATTATTTTTGCTTTTAGTATAGTGGGACTTTTGAAATCTTTTTACCATATAGATATGATTGACTGGAACTTGTCTTTTGCCTGCTAAATTTTGCATGAATATATGCATGTTACTTTTAGATAACTGTGAAACTACTATGATTACACAAATCCTTTACTATTTAGCATATCATTCATAATGTAATGGTGTCATTATTTATAAAGGCCTTGGTTCTACCCTGAGAAAGAAACTACTAATGTTTTCAAGGTTATTTAACAATGGATATCATTGAATTATCTAGTAAGGGTACTTTGCTAAATAGATCAAGGTCCTGAAAGCATCAGGAAAGAACCTCCAAGAAATGAGAAATGTAGTCTATCCTGATCTTTAAATAAAGCCTATTTCTCCCATTCAGATTCAATTGGAAAGTTATTGGGGCTTATGTACTTTTTATTATTTTAATCTAAAAATCTATTCAAGAAAGCCCTCATCATAGGTTTAAATTTCATGTTTTAATATGATTTGACCTTTTAATTTTTGCTGTAATACATCTTTCAAAATTTTTCAAAAGTGTTTGAAGAGGAGTTTTTAAATGAGTTCAACTATATAATTTCAATCTATTTTTTCTGCCCGTGAATTTTTAATTAATTTTCAGCATGTAGATAATTAGGGTTTGCATATATTTTCAAGATTTCTCAGATTTTGTAGAGCTATCTAACTTCAGTATTGTGTCATAAAATTGTAAACATTTGAAGTAATCATATTTTGAAATAAGCATAATATAGTAAACCCTTTTAATCAGTGTTTTAGGAAACTGGTTTGTGTAATCATAATGCTTTGTATTTCTGCAGTTCACAGAGATTATACAGAGATCTTTTGTCATAAAATGATTGATAAAAATATTACTTTTTATGTTTATTGATGCAATATATCAGCACCCTGTGACCTGGCAGCCATCTAAAGATGGAGATCGTTTAATTGGTCGCATTTTATTAAATAAGCGTCTGAAAGATGGAAGTGTACCTCGGGATTCAGGAGCAATGCTTGGCTTAAAGGTATGTAATAAAATGTATGAGATTTTGGCTCTATACTCCTTTACAGATTTACCAGAAAGGCAAAAGATATAATAACTCTTTCTACCTATGCCAATTTAGTGGAAGTATTTTTCCATTTTCAAGATTTGTAAATATATGTGCTCATCATTCAAAACTGTTCATTTTCCCAGTATTATTTAAGAAGTTGTGATTATTTCACAATAATATTCATTTTGGAAGATATTGAAAGTAACCCGATTAGGATCAATTTGAATCTTAAATACTGTGTTCATTTTACCTACAGAGTTTGTCCTTTAAGTCTTTGCCTGTGTTTATATCAAAATGATAGTTTTGTACAATTACTTAATTTGCAAACTTGGAAAATATAGCATGTGTATTACATAGGAATATAAATTTATATTAATGTAGCAAAATGTGTGTGTGGGGGGGTGCATGGGCTGAAGAGAGAGAATACTATTTGAAGTGTGGAAACTCAAAAATAATTATGTTAGATGAAATATAAATATTAATTTATGTTTTACAGTAAAATACCTGAAAATTATTTGGTAAGCACCAGATAGCGTTCTGTTTGGTTTTTGTGTATTTGGTATAGCCAATTAAAAATTGAAATTGAAAAAGAGTAAATTTTTTAGAATTCAACCATTGCTACAGAAGTTGTCCTGTTTAATATAGTAAGAGATATTAAGAAACTTTGGATGTAGGTCCAATTAGTTGTATTTTATTAAATAAACATCTGAAAGATGGGAGTGTACTTTGAGATTTACTGCACGGCAACCATGTGGCTGTCTCTCATTGGAGCATTTTACATCTGTCATTTTATTTAATACTCACAGCAGATGAGAAATAGGCTTGGAGAGGTATCATAACTTGCCCACAGTATCAGCAAGATGGGTGATGATGGTGAGATTTAAATCTAGATCTGCCCGTTGCTGGATGCAGTGCTGTTCACCTGTCATCCCAGCTGCTTGGAATGCTGAGGCTGGAGAATCGCTTGAGCCCAGGAGTTCATGTCCAGCTTGGGCAACATAGCAAGACCCCATCTCTTAAATATATTTTTAAAAAGCCAGATCTACCCAGTATAGTGTTAGATTTGTGATGTAGAGCTTAGGAAGTTTGGCCTAGAATTCGAGTTGCAACAGTTACTGGCTACATGATATCAAGCAACTAAACTTTTCTTAGCTTCAGATTCCTTATCTGTTCAATGGGGATAATTAAAGTTTTAGTTGCCCAATGTTAAATAAATCAATATACAAACATTAGTACAGTGCCTGACAAAGTATAAGATTTTAATAATAATAATTATGGTCAGTACAATTAATTAATATTATTAAAGTTTATTAAGCCAAGAAAGTTTTACATAGGGATGTGAGTCCTTAAAATCTATACATTTAATTTGTAGAATCAAACATAGGACTAATTAGTTAATATTAACTGAATTGTGATTGAGTATAATTCAGTGTAATTTAGAATAAATTCATAGAATAAAATAAATTAGTGATTTTCGAATTCATATTCTTTTTACCAATGTAGAAGAGAAAAACCAATTCATTTTAGTAAGTGAAGTTAGTTACTATCGTTTACTTGAGTTGGTATAAAGTTGAGATATTGATTGAATGGCAGCTGATCAGAATGAAAGCATTAATTTTGTAAGAGACCAGTATCTTACAAGTGTATATGTGACTCCTAATATGTTTACATAGCATTACTCCTAATATGTTTCTTTTTCTAAAAGATATATTTTAATAGAAACATAAAAATAGAGGCCTTGGTGTATGGATGGTCTAAAGTTTATATTACTCATGATGAGATTAAGTAAATTTTATAATTTTCTCAAGGAAGATACATCATAATTGTGCACATTATTAATGTGCCTAAATGATTACTAACTAATGACAATTTGTTAGTATATCATAATTATAGTAAAAGGACCAAATATTTTGTGTTATAATATTTTAAATATATAACTAGATATGTTTATATAACTATATAATGCTGTAGTAATATAGTTTTGTAAATGACAAAAGTTAGAATTCTGTAATAAGAATAGAATTAAAAATTGTTAAATTTTTTCTGAGGTGTGGAATATTTTCAACATATAATGAATTAAAATGCAAAACATTTGAAATAGGTAAAAAAAAAGAGCTCTTAGGCCAGATACTCAGTTCCTAATTGCAACAATAAATTATTTAAGAAATAATCTTTCGTACATTAAATTATAGTTTTAGATACTACAAATTATTCTAGGTATTTTTTACTTGAATCTTCAACTACCTTAATTTTAATAATATGCCTGTTTTAATACTTTCCTCTTTTACACAGGTTGTAGGAGGAAAGATGACTGAATCAGGTCGGCTCTGTGCATTTATTACGAAAGTAAAAAAAGGAAGTTTAGCTGATACTGTAGGACATCTTAGACCAGGTAGGTTTTTACTTTTGATTATTTACATTGAAACTGTTAAGCTTGAGTAATTACGAAATAGCTATCCTCATTTAGAAGTGATTTTACCAGTAACAAAGAGCTCTTTTAACTTAGATGTAAATCTTTGTTCTTTAGTGAAAAGTTAGAACATTATTTCTTGAGCCATAGTAGATAAAATAATTTTTATGTTTACTGATCTTATTTTTTTACTAATGGATATTCTAATCTGTATCTAATATCAACACATTTTGTTTTCCCCATAGTCTTATTTTTCTTTTGAAAAAATTCAAACATAGTTTTGGAAATAAACTTCATGGATAAATAGATACTTCCTAAAATGTGTCACCCCTTATCTCTTGGGTGATGGATATTGTTGGAGAGATCCTTGAGTGCCTTGAAGAGATGCTATTCTTGAGTTTTTCACAAGAGAATTTAGACAATGGAAATCCTTTAAAGAAAACAGGGTGTTCAGTTGCATATAAATTGAGAAACCTGGAGTAAACAGTCATAAAATATTCAAAGAAGCAACTGATTTTGATACTTGTCTAGAAGGAGAATTTCTATTAATAAATCACATAGAGAACTTTTATGTAATTTTTTGTCCTCTGACCCTTGTCCTTTTCAGTGAAATATACTAATTCTTCTGATCATCAAATTTTTTGCCACCAGAATCCTCTTCTCAGCATGTTTCTCATTCCACAATGGTGATTTTATTTTATGGAGTTTGTTGAAATTTACGATTGCTTTTGTTTTGAGTGCATTTATGGGATTAGATTTTTTTTCTAAGATTATTATTACTGGCACACATGATAGGTGATGAAGTATTAGAATGGAATGGAAGGCTATTGCAAGGAGCCACATTTGAGGAAGTATACAACATCATTTTGGAATCCAAACCTGAACCACAAGTGGAGCTTGTTGTTTCAAGGCCTATTGGGTAAGTTGGTTTCAGTATTTTATATGCGTGTAAAGTTGATTGCTATTAAAGTTCATAATGTGCAATCCCAAAATGTCTGCTTTATGAAAATAAATTATTTTGTAGACAACACTTTTTTCTCCTTCTTTACCAAAAACACCGTATCAAAAGTTGTGACATCTCTATCTGATCATGATAGAATATATAGTTAATTATAGAAGAAGAAGAAATATTTAGGTGTTTATTATTTTTATTGTTGTAGCACCTTAATAGATGCTAAAGGAATTAGTATGGGAAGGGGATTATAGTAACCATTACTTTTTTAAATATAAGTTGCATAGTTCATACATGAACTATGTATGGTCTTTTACATAGAAATGGGAATCAGCTATAGTCTACAAATTTTACTTATTTTTTTCATGGAGATTTCAACATAGGAAAGAAAGAACCAAAGGGCATACAATTCCCAGATAGAATAGTTTAAGGAAAATCATGACATTGTTAAAGATAGGTGGGTAAATAGACCAAAGATAAGCAAACACCAAAAACTCTTTGGTTTTGTAATTTATAACTATAATTTATAATCCCTATGAATTAAACATAATCCCTATAGATTACATTGACAATTTCCAAAAGGTGGCAATAAATATAATCCTTTCACCTAAATTATGAGAATTACTCATTAAATATCCCAGCAGTAGTTCCTTTATAGAATCTTATATTCTATGCCAGTGTATAAGATATACCTATAACTAAATAAAAGCAATAGGCTGGGCACGGTGGCTCACATCTGTAATCCTAGTATTTTGGGAGGCTGAGGTGTGAGAATTGCTTGAGGCCAGGAGTTTGAGACCAGCCTGAGCAAGAGGGAGATCCCATCTCAACAAAAAAGTAGGAAAATTTACTGGGCGCAGTGGCACGCTTCTGTAGTACCAGCTACTGAGGAGGCTGAGGCAGGAGAATCACTTGGGCCTAGGATTTTGATGTTACAGTGAGCTAGATGATGCCACCACACTCTAGCCAGGGTGACAGAGTGAGACTCTGGGACTCTGTCTCAAAAATAAATAAATAAAAGTAATAATAAATATATATAAACAGAGTGAATTATTAAGTGCCTATTTGGGGTGTAGTCTACAGAAATTGTTCCTTGTTGTAGAATAATAATGCCCAGTTTTTTCATTCATTCAGGAAATGATTAGGCTTTCTTATTTTTATCTCTTTTTAAAAATGCTGGAGAAAATGACTCAGGTTTGTAGCTTAGTTTTATTGAAATGTTCCTTTCAAAGTTATAAATCTGGCACATGCAGTTGTATCCATTTTTTTATTGTTATTTTGTCTCATAGTTTTATACTTTGGTAAAACCACAGTGTACCAGCTTAAGTGTGTTTATCAAATGTAGTGCTTGGTGTTAAAGCGTCCTCAAATCATATTTTCTTTAATATTTTAAATATTAATAATTTGTAATCTTTTATGTAATTTTCTTAATGACCTTAACCATTAATATTAAAAAATTCACACTTATTTTTGGTGTAAATATAGTTACAAGGTAAATTTGAGGGTCACAAAAAGAAATATGTTTGCCGTTTCTCAGTGATGGTAATTACACTTAAAAAGTTTCAATCACAATCTGAATATTTTAATTTTTGTCTTGGTGATATTGTATTTGTACTTCAATGTTATTGAGTTAGAATAGCATATAAAAATAAAGAGTGGAATAGAATTAAAATGTAAAAATAAAGAGTGGAATAGAATTAAAATGGAATAGAATTAAAACTTATCTTGTTGACTATAAAATTTTTTTATAATAGATAATTGTGTAGTGAGGCACATAGAAAATAAAGTCTATGTTTTTACAAATTTGCTACAAATTCATGTCAATTTTAATTATTTTTAAATAGTTGGGGTTATCCCAGAATACTTTTCTTAGCAATAAGTACTAAGGCTTATTTGTTTCTTGTTTATATAATGCTGCTGCCATGTAGTTTTCTTCATTTCACATTGTCCTTTTATAATATAGGTTGATAATAATCAAAACTAATATCTGCATTAATTTTTGAAACAGTTTCTTGTGTTCTTTTTTGTATCATTTCAGAGATATACCTAGAATACCTGATAGCACACATGCACAACTGGAGTCTAGTAAGTCTCATTTATTCTAGAAGAAAATGTTATTAATGCTGTAATTCATTCATCAGAAGTTAAATGAAGTATTTTATCTATTAATGTGAAATACTAAATATGTTAATCTTGTTAAGTATACAATCTCATAAAGATGGAAAATTTAGCATTATTTCATGTCACTGTGAAAAATGTTACAAAATTATTTAATATTTTAAGATTTTTTAAACCATATTATCTTTACTATGGATTTTTAGATAGCATTACTAGATTTTACTACAGTAAAGTGCATGTAACTAAATTGCACAATTAGGTAAGTTTTGGAATGCCTATATACCATATATACCATCATCACAATAAAAAATTATATCTATCACTTTTGAAAGTTTCATCCCACAAGTCTCCCCTATTTAAAATATTTACTATTTTGTAATCTCACCCTCATTCAGTGGGGAGAAATGCTTGGAACAAACTAGCTAATAATTAAATTTATTCTAATTTATATTTTTGGAAAATGGGATAACCGTTCTGATTTAACATCTATGCAGTAATGTAACAATAGACATATAAGTTTAAATAATGTCAAATAAGTGAATACTTTTTATTAGTTGTTTTTGAGTACTATTTTAAATGTTAAACAAATGAATTTTTCCCAGTAAGCTAAGTTTTTTGATTGGTTGAGAATAGAGTTAGTGATATTGGGAGAAAGGAGGTCGGGGGTTGTAATTTGAAATATGTTTACCAAGATAGATCACATTGACAAGGAAGGATTGGAGTAAAAATTTGAAAGAGTGGGTAGTTGGGGGAGGATCTTTCCAGGTACGGGGTCCAGCTAGTGCAGTGGCTCTAAGTCAGGAAAGCCTAGGGTGCATCTAAGGAAATGCAAGGAAGCCATTGTGTCTCAATGGAGTGAGCAAGGGGTAGAATCGTAGGAATCAGGATAAAGGAATTATGGACAGCCAAATTGTATAGGCTGTATATGCCACTCCAAGGACTTTAGCTTTTACTTTTGGGGGGGAGCTTTATAGGATGGTTTGGAGTTGATATTTAGTCTTAAAATCAGGCTACTATGTTTAAAATACAGTCAAGGATAAAAGCAAAAAGGCCAATGAGAGTACTGGCTTAATAACCTGATACCAAGACAGTGTGACTTAGATCATGGTGGTAGCAATGGAGGTGGTGATAAGTGGTCAGATTTTCTATATACCACTATAATTTAGAATATACTATCAAAATAGATTTTTAGTATCATATTTATGGTTGTAAGTATAAATTTCTTTACAATTTTCACCAGAAAAGTGAAGTCTTTTTTGGAATACTATCCCTGTATACTTTAAAATATAGTCACCTGACCTATTTGATTTAGTACCTTTGGCTAAGTGCTAAATTGTTTTATCCAAAATAATATCATGATCACATAAACCCATAACACAATAAATAATATAATAATTATTATAAAATGATATTATCATCATCATCATTCTCAATACCGCCATTTTATTTAATACTTGCAACTGCACTTGATGTTGTACCAATATTATCACACTGAATTCTTACAACAATCCTATGGGGTAGGTAAAACTTGTATGCACCTTTATTATATCACTCAGATATTGAGTGAGCAGTGTGGAATGCTTTATGTTATTTTAGCTATTTATTATAAAAAGCACCTAGGCTATAATTTTGAAATTGTTCCTGTGGAGACAAGGGTCCTTTCTCAAATTAGATCCAATTTTTTATTTTTTAAACATTGAAGAATCTGTTTCTCCAAGCCCAGTCCTTAATGCTCTTTTCCTGGTTCCTCAATAAATATTTTTCTTCGTATGGTTTTAATTGTCAGCTATGCTCCATCGTTTTTCCTTCATCCTTTTATGTTTAATGAATACATTCTGTTAAGTGTCTTACTGCTACCTGAAGCTTAGCAAGCTTTAGAGTAAGAAAACAGCTTATTTCTTAGAATAAAGGCATTATTCTTCCTACCTGTTAAATAATTTAAAAGTTATCACCATTACTTCTGATCCCAAGGCTTGCAGTTTCCGCTTCATTTTACACTATACTTACTGTCTGTGGAGGTGAGCTTTACCCACCTGTATCTCCAATTAGACATCCAACTCTACAGTTTAATTTCTAACACTAGTCTCTACCCCAACATTTAGATTTGGTCCTATCTGTATTTCCAGTTACCTGCTTATCCAAGGATAAGGAGGATAAGAGGATAAGAGGAGCTTATCCAAGCTCCTCTTGGATATTTCAGATGTGTTGTAGGGTAACTGTGTTCTAAACGAAGTTCTATCCACCCATTACCTTAAACACGGATCTTCTACAGTGTTCTAAATCCCAGTGAATATCACCGCTGTCCTACCCAGAGAACACCACAGACACAGAGAACTTTCTTAACCCCATGTCTGCTTAGTAGGCTTGAAATCTTGTTTTCCCTTCTCTTTCCTTTATCTCTCACATCTAATTAGTTTCTGAGTCCTCATTTTCTTTTTTCATGATATTGCCTGAATTTCTTCTTTCCATTCTATTTCCACAACATGTACTACTATTATCTTTTCAATTCTATTTGCTCTTAAGTATTTTCCATCCCTCTCCCTTCAATCCACATTTTAAATAGCTGGTGAAGTCATCTTCCTCAAATGCAGTTTTGATCTCACTCATAAAACTTACTGTGAATACATTAGTGCCAAAGTGAATAGCCCAGAATTCCAGGGACACAATTCCCACAGTATCCCATTAGCTTTTATTCCTATTCACTTTCCAACTTGTCCCTTCCTCTCCATAGAAATAAATTCATACATATACCTTCTGGGTACTCTAATTCTGCTTTTTCTGGTATTCTGTATCTTTTTACATAGTCTCTTAAGTCCTTTCTACCAATCTAATTTGTTATATCCTTCTAGATATAGTTTAAAAAAATCACCTCCTGGAAACATTTAATAATTTTGGACATTCTAGCACTTATGTTCTTAGAATTGCAGGTTCAGCCTGTATTTACGTTGCTTTATTGATTTGTGTTTTGGTTATTCCTCCTCATTTCTATTTTTAATAACATAAAAAGTAACTAAGGCATGAAGTAGAGGTCTGTCTCTACTATAACTGGCACAGAAATGGTTCACTGTTGGCCCAAAGAATATCCCTTATGTTTATAGATTTATGCTTCCAAAAAAATAACCTCTAAGTGTATTTGGAACATTGTGGTTGATGGTCTACATAATGACATTTTGTGAACATTTAAAAATAAATAATATGAGAGATATATGATAACAGTTATTCAATACCAGGGAAGAACCATTATTATCATACTTTATGTGTAATTATCGTTTCAGGTTCTAGTTCATTTGAATCTCAAAAAATGGATCGTCCTTCTATTTCCGTTACCTCTCCTATGAGTCCTGGCATGTTGAGGGATGTTCCACAATTCTTATCAGGACAACTTTCAGTATGTAATCACAAAATTAATTTTTCTTTTTGGAATATCAAATAATGTTTTTAAAATATGGTGCTAGTTTTTAGAAACCAAGTTCTTAAAAGAACATAATTGTGCTTTTAACTATCAACTTTCTCTCTTTTGATAATTTTAGTTGGTTGAAATTCAGTGTGATTATGTATCATAGTACTTTATTTATTAGAGTTAGGTTTACTGGAATTTAATGAGAGTTAGATTTTGTGAAGATATCTAAACATTATTACCTTAGTAATTATTTCAAAATTCAAGGTCATGAATTTTGCTCTATACCTTAAAATGACTATAAATTGTCATGAGTTTTTAAAAGAAATGAAAATATACTGTACAAAGATGGTACTTAGGATAAAAGTAAATATTTCTATATTCTTCACTGCTTTCAACTGTAAGTAAATTTGGGGTGAATTTCATAATAATCATTTAAGTACTAAAATTTCTATGAAATATAAAGATACTTGAGATGTTTTTGTAAACATCCCATCCAAATAAATAGGGAAATACATAATAGATTACTAAATACTCCAGGTGGACTTCACATTAAGTGCTTCCTGATTTGAACATATTATAATAAAAATTAGAAATTAAGTTATGCATTTTATATTATGTTCATATTACAAGAACTTTGCAAATTCAAGTCCTCACTTTTTATTCATTTGTTCAGTTGTCATTCTCTTATTAAACCATTTAAAAATATCAATATATTTAAATTTACTCATTTTATATTTTTCAAACATACTCTTTAATGTTGCCAGTAGTGCTGGTGATTAACTAAACTTGAAATTCCATGAGTGTTATAGAGCTATGTGGGTTCTCAAAATCCAGACATTCAATTTTAGATGATAAGTTTTAAGATAAAACAAAACTGTGTTGGGTTAATATTTTAAGAGCAATAGAAATAGCTCTTTGTTAAATCATGAAATTTTTCCTTTTCTGGGTGGGGGCGGGGAGTAGTGTTTGGTTTTTTTCCTGAAGTATTTTCATTAATTAAAAGGAGTAATAGGAAGTATATGCAAGTTAAGATATTACATGTTATTGGAAAAGTCATCAGACATGTCTTTTCTGGAACTATTTTGACCACAAAGGAGACAATAACAGAAAAGTTCTGCAATAAAGAAGATGGGATACTATTAGGAGATTGTGAATGTTATACTAAAATATATTTCTGTCCTTTATTATTTTTTTTGTTTATCTTTTATAAACAGAATGAACTTTTTCATTTGAGGACAGTGACCTTTTTTTCATTCTCGATTATAAGTAGCATCTTTCTACTTAAATTCTGTTACATATATTGACAGCACATATGTTGTCACTTATAGTTACAAATGTATATGTATTTACTTCTACCATCTTAGAAAACACTTATAATGTTAGCTGTTATTTTTTATTATGACTCCATTTAAATAGCTTATCTTTAAATAATGCTCTGGGGGCTGGACAATGCCAGTACATAAATGTGTGTGTGTGTGTGTGTGTAGTTGGCTTGACTTGGTGAAGGGAACAGAAGTTAGATTTCCAAAATATAATAAGGACCACTTTGCTATATCTCATTTGAATCCCAAGGTCCTGTTATAAATTGGACTACAAGGTGAGGATGAGGAGCATAGTTCAGGGATTTAGACAAATTTCAAATTCAACTATTTTTCCTCATGGTTCAATTATTATGGTAGGAAAATTAAACTGTTAAATATTTGGGTGAAATATAAACTTAAAAAAATTGATTTCTAAATATATGTATAATGATGTAAAATTATAGTCTTTTTAGATTTAGAAATAATGTTTGTTTGAAATTTATGTAATTGTAATTTAAAATCTGTACCATTTTCTTATGACTTAGAAAGGATATATATATGTTCCACTATGTTGTTGGTAATAAAACTTTCAGCTGCATATGTCTTGAAATTATACATATATACACACACATCCCCGACCACATATATAAAATATATTGGTTATTAATATAATACAGATTTATCCTGGGGAAATGTGGATAATACAGAAAAGTAAATAAAAAATTAAAATCAGCTATAATCCAGACACTAAAATATAACCATTCAGATACATATAAATTTTTAAACAAAACTGGAAAAGATCTGTACATACTATTTTGAATCCTGCTTTTTCACTTAGTAATAATTGTGAACTTTTTCTTGTCTTTAAAAATTCCTCTTAAAATCATTTTAATAGCTACATAAGATTTCATTTTAACTTAATTCACTATTATAGGATATCTTGCTTCTTTTAATTTATATTATTATAAATAATGATGCCATAAACATCTTGAATTTACCTTGCATGTTTATGTTAGGACAAAATTCTTTTGTGATAATGTTCTAGAAGTAAAATTACAATATGAAACACAAAGTGAAATTTTAAGACTCTTGAAATCTATTTCTAATTTTTTTGTCCACAAATGTTAAACTTCAATCATCTATTTAGGAAATATTTGTTAAGTTTTGAACCCATGTCAGGCATAGTGCTAGTCACTGGGAACACAAGTGAATATGATGGAATGGTTTTTACCTTCATGTGATTTATTAATTTTATTCTCATTCTTTGCATCCAGGAAAACATAAATAAGATGCTCTGCTGAATACAATATTTCCTGTTATATTTAATCTTATCTGTACCAGCCTGTAGACAATTTTTGTTTGCTCTAATGATGTAGAGGTTGGAAAAATAGATGTCTATGTATATAACTCCTTGGGAAAACCCCGAGGAAGTCACAAGACAACATAATAATTCCTATTTACTTCCGTTACACCTTTAGGCATTTTTGCTTTTGGGAAGAATCTACTTGGGCTCATACCTCACTAACAAAATCATGACATTTCCAATGCCTAAGAACAAAGATAATTTGTATAGTAAGTGAGCTGACCTTCCTAATATTTTATGTCAGTTCATGAACTGGTATTTTCTCAAATAGAAAATATATATTGTAATACAAATTTGTTGTTTACATTTTCATACTCAATACTATTGATTATTTAAAAAATATATGCAATTTATTTTCTCTCCATGCTTGAATTGTGCTGCTGCTTATTAGGCACAACCATGAAAGTACCAGTAATTTATTTGGTGAGAAAATCAGCATGAGGTCAGGTTTAGGCTTCCTGGACTATATGTTAGCCTTTTGAGTGACAGCATTCTCTTATTTTGATTCCATTTTTTATATGTCCTTCCAGAATTTATTAATAGTAGTTTCCTTCTTTAGAGGACTACTTTTGTGATTATTAATATTTTAAAATTAATTTATAGTCTTTGGCTAGGTTTTTGATACAGTGTTAAAACAAAATATAGCTTTCAATTCTTTGAAAAGAGGCTCAGAATTCTTTCTGTAGGAATGCATTACACAGTTGATTCTATTGACAGTCATATTTTATTTCACTTCAGGGTGAAGTGATTTATGGTTGCAATATTTTTCCAAGTTACTTTGTTTTAATATTTTTCTGACTCCATTTTTAGTAAATATTTTAAGTATCCATGTCCATTATATGCCCATTTAAAAGGAATAAGTAATTTAAGAATAGGTATGTGTCCTTTCTATCTCCTTAGAAACTTTATAGTCTTTAAAAAACTTTCTATAAATGAAAGTTTTTGTTTGAATTTTTATCTTTTACACTTTGTTGCCATAACTTTGTTATTCTAGAAGAATTGCTTGAAAGCAATGGCCTTAAGATAGTAGTGCAGCAAATAGTAGGAAGTGACATTAAAAATGCAAAATAAATTATGGCATACAAATTCAAATTCTTCATTTGTATGTAGCCTGAATTGTTATAGATACTATCAGGGTTTTCATGCTTCAAATAAATGAGTTAATACTAAGTACACATTACAATAAGGCACATAGTACTTTAACATTCCTATTTGTAATATCCATAGAGACATAGAATCCATAGAGACAGAAAACAGCTTAGGGGTTGCCAAGGGATAGTGAGATATTATAGTAGAATGGGAGTGATTATTTGAAGTACAGGGTATGGGGTGATCAAATAGTTTTGATACTAGTTGGAGGTAGTGATTACACAGTATTGTTAATGCATTAATTGCCACTGCATTGTATATTTTAAAATGGTTAATGGTATGTTTTGTGAATTTTACCTCAATTTTTAAAAAACTGCCAAAAATATGTTTTCATAGCCATTTTTAAAGTATAAACTTATGGGTGAAAATTAGGTTTAAATAGTGATAGATTTTAGAAGTTCAATTTTCAGAAGTCTATGAGTTGCTTGTTTAAGGTCATTTTAGAACATGGAAAAGTGTTTGCTTTAAAAGATCAATTAATTTAAAAGTACTATTCCTTTTAAAGTGCATCTTTCACTTTTTGAAGTAATATTTACTTGTAAAAATATTCTATTACCTTAATATTTTTGTTCTAAAACAGATCAAGTAGGAGGGCAGGGAAAATAAAATCTGTTTCTAGAGTGTCTTGTTAGTCCCTTTCTAAAGCACAATTATTTAATCTCTATGAATTTCATGCATCCTCACCCCATTTGCTAAAGAATTAGCCACGTCAGGTATGTAGACAGACATCGGTAACACACTCCATATCAGAACATTTATTTCTTCATTTGGGAATATGTCCATACCAAAAGGAAGACAACTTAGATTTGAGACTGTATTGGTTTTTAGAGAGAAATAGAGAGAGACACAGAGAGAAAGAGAAAGAAAGATAATTCACGTTTGAATGAAAGTCTGCTTTCCTTTGAGTTTTAGATTTGTGCCTTAAACAGTGTCTGCCCCACAATAGTTGAATTGGGCAACAGTTCTTCTAGCGCTCGTTATCTTTCCATGTAGCAATGGAAAAGATAGAAGCCTTGAACTATTTATAACTTTGAAGTAGACAAGAGAAACATTCCTAAGAAATGTGAGTAATGGGGTGGAATGTGTTGGTAAGAGAGCAGAGATAATTAAATCCTGTGAAATTCATTCCCAAATCCGTAGACATGCATCTGATTTTGTTCCTGATTTAACTGTTGGAACATCTAAGGAAAAGCACAGCTTTCTAGTTATTGTGGTGCATGTTGAAAACTGTTTCAAAATGAAAACAAAAAAGTTAGAAGAGAAAGGAAATTTGATTTTATTTCTGAGAATTTGAAATAGAGTGATGTAATCAGAACTGGGCTCTGTTTTCTGCCTCTACACTATCTTGCTTTTGTTTGAGTACAGGCAAAGTATGTTATACCCCCCTTTTTATATTTCCTCATCTGCAAGTTGAGGATAAAATCAACTACCTCCTAGGGTTGTTGGGAATACTATAAGGCAATAAACTTGCAACAAACTGTCAGTAAAAGCTTGGAAAAATATAAAGAACTGTGTAAGTAAAAAGAAATGAGATATTGTCATTCATAGGTGTTATTAGCAATAAACAGTGTTATCTCAAGTGGTGCAAAATAAATGTCTGAAGATGGTGTTTCAGTACTAGAACCTGGTATAAATTCTTCAAATATGAATCAATTAATTAATCCAGTGCATTCCAGCACACTTTAATCTTAATGTGTTTTCTTTTAAGAAATTCTAAAGCCAACTTGACTGATGTTTTCTGGGCTTTGGTTAGACTTATGTCTTTGGAGAAATTACACAATTACTTCCAGAAATGGCTTTTCACTAATAACTCTCTAATACATTTTCATCTAACTTCTTTTTGGACTATGCTTTTTTTCTATATAGTATATTTAAGGTAAAATCTCTTGATTCTTGAGTTATGCTTACAGTCTTTCTTTCAGAATATACAAGTTCAATTATGTTATTTTATAACCAGTCTTAATTCCTGTTATGTTGACTATATTTTAAAAATCTGATTAAACAAATTTTAGTATTTTTTATAGTTTTGATGTATTTTAGCATTGGGCAATATAAAGTTATTCATTACATTGAAGCACTTAATTTAGATAAATATTGTCATAGAAAATTGTATTTAAGGGATAGTTATATGTGTTTGTTTTTACTTTTGGTCTTTTAGTTCCAGCGTGTTGTCCTTTTTGGTTTTGTTTTATTGCTTTTTTCTTTAATTTTGCTTACCAGAGCCAAAGCCTTAGTAGAAGAACAACGCCTTTTGTTCCTAGGGTTCAGGTAAAGGCCTTGTCTGCCTGATAGAATCTAAAGTTGTGTTTTAACCCTTATTTGTATGTTTTTGGAAAATGCGTAGTAGGAAAACTTTTTTTGGTATGTTGCTCCAAACCATATTATTGACTTCCAAACCATTTTATGAGCCAGCTTGTAAAATTCTGCATGGGGATTAGAATACTGAATAAAAATTTAAAGAGACAATCTTTGTTATTGATTTTATGTGATGAACTAAATACTAAATAAAACTTATAGGTTTCAAAGTAGCATTTAATATAGTTTTAATGTAGATTCCACTTATATATGTAACATTTACAGAAATAGCTAATTTTATACTGTTGATATTTTCCTTTATGACACTGTTTGCTGTCTCTTTAAATCATTCATTATATCACTTAACATCTATATTCTCGTGCATTTTCCAAGCAATAACTCCTTGAGGAGATTGGCAAATAAATTTGTACCTTGTTTAAAATTTAATTTTATTCATATAATATGTAAGGTTCAATTTTTGGAAAGTATATTACTTTGAAAGAACAAAATTACAATCCAAATAAAATGTGTTGGGTTTATTTTGTTTATATTTTGTCATTATAATTTCATTTAATTTTACTGTAATACTTGGGTACAAGTTGTTTGCCTCTTTTCATTAGGAAACCCTTATATAGTAAAGTAATGTCAGTATAGTTTTTTTTAAAAAGTAGTATTATGCTTTCCTAGCTTTGGTGCATGTTTTTAAAAAAATTTTTTGGTTTTGAGTAATACTTATTTTGTTTAATTTTTAAAAACTAAATTGACTGTAGCTAATATTATACAATATAAAATATTTACCTGTGCTGCTCAGGTTCTACTTAGGAATATTAAAAATGGTTACATGTTAAAGCTGGAATGATAATTATATTAAAACAATTAAAATGATACCAATGTTTTTATTAATGAAATTGAAGCAGAGTAAGAAATATGTCAGGACTAGATTTATGAAGATACATTTGTTATATTTTGGGGCATCAATAGCTGTATCTTAGCCATTTATTTAAAAAGCACAGATAAGAAATTTAAGAATGTGATAAAATAGTCTAGTTATAAAATAATTTTGTTTTGGTGATAAGAACTGGATATCTATTAAAAACTTCAATGTCCTGCAATATAAATAAAATTAGGGCTACTTCAGATGCTCAGTTTAAGGCAGTTTGTTAAAGAATATAATTTTGGTCAAATAATTAGTAAAATTAAAATGTACCTGCTTCCTATCTAAATTATTTTAATATTTGTATATTTATAAAGTATAATTTAATAAATCATATAATATTATTATAAAAATAAGAAAGCCATGTGTTTACCATCTATTTGTATGAGAAATGGATGATATTAGTAAGTGATATTTTTTGGTTTTCCATGACATAAACAAATATGAAAAGGATACTTCTTATCAGACTCTTGAAATACATTTCTCAAATGTTAAAGGAGCAAAAATATTATCTGTGGAGATAGCAACAAGTGCTTAGTCTCAACCCCTCAAAAAATTATCAAATAAATCAATAATTTCCTCTAATAATTTTAAGCCTAGTCTCATAATAATTATTGCTTCTTTGTTTCTTAAGTGTAAAGTTTATTGGAAAAGAAACTTTTTAGCCTTGCTAAATCTTTTTCTCTTTGAGGTTTCTAATATTCATGTCATGAGCCTCAGAAAAAAGATTTTTAGTGTCTTGAAAAAATAGTCATAAGCTCTTTTATTACCTGTGAAAACAGAATACCATAGAAACTAATCTGGTTTTGGTCACACATTTAGGAGGAACCATGATGCTATCTATAACATTTCTATCATCTCATATGCAATTAGACACTCCTGCATTTCTTTCTTTCTTTGCTTTCCTCTCATATTTTTTGCCAGAAGAATAGTTTAGTCTCTTATTCCTCCTTATCTTTCTTTATATGTGTGTTCTAATATTGTTAGGCAAGCAAATGTTTTAACTTTTTCCTTTCAAATATTGAAAACTTTTTTCTTCAGTTTGTTGATCTGTTAATGTAAGGCAGTGGTTCTCAAATTTTAATGCACATGAGGATCACCTAAAGGACTTGTTAAAATTCAAATTCCAAGGCCCCATTTTGATTCTGTAGGTGAGTGGTAGGGCCCAGGAATTTATAACTGTTTAGTAAATAAGCCAGATAATACTGACATGGGAGGTTTGTTAACCATAGTTAGAGAAACACTTGTCTAGGGTCTATTTTTTTACTTAGCAGCTCTATTAGAAAAACTTATACAATAGTAAGATAATACCTCCATTAAGGATAAAGACTTAACATATAGATTAGTAATTATAAGTTTTAAAATTTGAATATTTCTTCCTTATTCCCATAAGAGGGCTAATTCCATTCATCAAAGAAACAAAAGGATAGAAATAATTTTATATACTCTTTTGGGCTGTTGGTCCACCTCTTCTGAGTTGCTTAGTCTCTCATTCTCTAAGGTATGGATTGAGAGACTCAAAAAAGCCATACTAGACTTGAAACTGAACTGCTAGTGTTTCCTATGTAACCAGAATTGATTTTACCTGTTATTCTCCAGTTCCAAATTTCTGATTCCATTTCAGTTTCAAGATAGTGGTCACAGATATACATAATTCTTAACCAAGATGTGCATGAGAGCCATAGTTATAGATCCTGATATAGAATCTGCTAGCTAGGTATGAGGTATGAGGTATGTGTGTGGGAGATGTTAACTGTTAAATCAAATGAATTTAGAAGCTGAATGTGAAGTTCCAATCCCTAATTAAATGGCACAGGGAAATTATTCACATTTTCTTATCTCAAATAATAAAATGAACTCTCATTATTAAGAATGTGATACATTTGCTTCACAAAATAAAAAGAGACTTTATGTATGAGAAAGAAAATTTAAAAAGATGAATTTATTGTAGTTTTAAGTACAAACTGAAGTAATCTATTGACTACAGCTACTAGTAAATCCCCTTTGCTTATAATGTTTTAAGTGTCTGTTGCTATAGAATCACAGAAAACATTTACTTGAAAATTCCCTATGAATGTTATGGAAACAAGTTACTATCCACTCAATTCATTTGGAACACTTATTCTGAGGTCACTATTGTAGGGGAACCAAAATGAACTACAGTGATTCTTGCATAAGGAAAGATACAGGGCAATCATTGTGTATAATGTCCTTAATTATGATAATATAATTATTATGTTCATGTTAATAAGCAATCATGCTAAGAATAAAAAGCCCAAGTGATTTATCATTAAAACTGAAATATCTGAATCATTCTTTTATTCATTGAAGTTATTATAGTATATCCTTTTATTTTAACTAACACAATTCACTGAGTCAAATTTATATTCTGTGCTAATATTAGTGTAAGAGAGTGGGGTGGATTTGAAATGTAAATATTATGTTGGGGTATTAAATGTTTCAGCTGATAAGTAAATATTTTTGCTTTTCAGATAAAACTGTGGTTTGACAAGGTTGGTCACCAATTAATAGTTACAATTTTGGGAGCAAAGGATCTCCCTTCGAGGGAAGATGGGAGGCCAAGGAATCCTTATGTTAAAATTTACTTTCTTCCAGACAGAAGGTAGGGATATAAAACAAAAATAAATGTTCTTGAAAATAAATGGGAATATGTTAATAGCAATGAATATTTCAATTTCCTGTATCATTTATTCTTCTGTATCATACCAGTCAGATACTTGTGAAGCTTACCATGGTTCTTAGAAATCAAAATAGTGACAGAAAATATTTAAGATTGTTTTAAAGCTTACATTAAATATTTATTGTAGATATTATTGAATATTAAGTTTAGACATGTGTGGATTATTTCTTAAATAATATATGTTTTCATTTATCAAAGTCATTAAAAATTAAATTTTTTTACCTCCTTACCAAGATAATGTTTCTCTCTTCTATAAAATTAACAAGTATGCTTTGTATTTCATCATGCCATATTAAGAAAACTTTACCAGAATTAACTTACCCAATAATTTTTTGTTTTATGTGTATTCTCATTCACTTAAATGTTTTTGTTCTACCCTGACTTAAATAGAGGAATTAGGATTGGAGAAATATCAAAAGTAACCTTAATCACTCTTAATTTTAGGCATATAGAAAATAAGAGGCTATTCAATAGGCATCATGAAAAAAGAAGAAAGTAACAGCACCAATTACCCTTACCCCTGTTATCTGCATCCCTGTCTTCCAAAGCAAGGCCTCTCAAGGTCTGTCATTTTATCTCAGGTTGGAAGTGTCTGAGCACAGATGTGATCTTAAACATGTTTACATACTTTTGGACCCACAGTTATTTAGTTACTCATACTTAGTTCAAGCAGAAAGCCATCAAGGCTGAGATGGATGCCAAAGTAAGATCTGAACAACAACATCAGCAAAGAAAAGGACAAAAGAAAGGAAGTAGACAAATGACGGAAGCCTTATATTTTCTTTAGTACATATTTTGAAGTGAAAGTTGTATAACCAGTTCCTCAGAATATGTCAAGATGCCACAACCTCTAAAGTTAGTAGACACTGCTATAGAATTTTATCTTATAAAGTTGACTTGAAGAAAGTTGTTCTCTAACAACTTAGTTTGACTTTTTTGAGAGATTCATGTTGAAATGTAAAGGAAGGAGAGGACATCCATAATTGTCTATGTTTTTATGCACATGCACGACTTAAGTTTCTACGTATTCAAACCTTTGAGGAGAAACACTTATTTGTTAGGTGATGAAAGTATTGCAAATTACCAAATTTCTTTCTTGATTGACTATTTTTGTTTAGTTTTAGTTTTAAATAACCCCTCTCCTTGGATTTTGAGCAGATAGAGCTAAAATGGAAGGGAAGCTCTTCTTATGAATCCTTTATATTCCAGATGTAGTTCTTTTTATCTTTTTTCAACACCAAAGAATGTGGGAGGCATTTGAATAATTTCTTCTCAGATTATTTTTCGGCTTAGTTCCTTGTCAGTTATAAAGAATTTGAAGACTATTTGAGTAAATTTTGTAGCTTACATTGTTGATTAGGTTGTGTCATGATTTTTATCTCTAATTGTGAAAATAATTATCTGCTTAACTCAGAAAGTTACATTATCTTCCCAACATTTTTTTTTGCTGTTGATACAAGTTTTTAACACATAAAGGACTATGCTTTTCTTATAAGGTATTTCATTTTTCTTAACAATTTTTCTGTAAGAAATACTTGAACAGGTAAACATAGAAAAGGATTGATGCATTTTTATCAATAAGACTTTCCGGAGAGGCAAGTGAAACTACATAGAAGAGATCTAGTCTAGAATGTCAGCTAAGCCATTTGGAAAATTATTTTCTAGGTAATATATTGTGTACTCTAAAAAATAACTGGGCATGCTGTACACTCTTTTTTATATTTTGAAGTCAAGTTGGTTACCAATCAAATTATATTTTTTCTTTTTTTTATTTTGAATAAAAACATCAAGTCTTTGCATGTTCTTAGTGAAATTAAATGGAAACCAAAAGTAACAGTAACATGAAAATAAATAGAAAAGATTTAGATTGGATTTTATGTTTTAAAAAGGTAACTATATTCTGAACAATTTAATGTTGCTTTTAAAGATCACTATTTTATTATCATTAGGCTGCTGTTTTAAAAATAGCTGTATAGCATGCTTATTGATCTTAGTTTTTAGATATTATTAGCACGTTTTCAGTGTTTGTTTTATATAGAATGCTGATTCTGAAGCCTTTGGTTAGACTTCTAGAAAAAATAAAACTTTTTTTTTAACTTGCTGAAGATAAGATTACTTTTTATGAAATGATGCTTTGATACACATTAAATTGCCTTATTAAATATTATAATCATGTATGTTGGCTTTTTAAGGAACGTCAGAAATTATCCAGTCCTCTTGCTATCCAGTGGAGATTATCTGGTCCTCTTCCTATCCAGTGCCTTCTAAAATTGTCATTTTTTTGTCTGAGAACTTATTTTAGTCCTTAAGAGGAAATTCATCGTTTATTCTTCTATTTCCTTTCAGACTTAGGTATAAACCATTCTTGAATTAGATAGCAAAGCTCTGGCATATACTTTCTTCCTGGCCTTCATGGAAGGAACTTTATCTCTTGACAGAGTCTTGGAATTCATTCTTCATTGATGGAATATAAATAGATGCTAAAGAAATATTTGTTAAAATTTTTAAAGAAAGGAGGGGGAGAGAAGGATTGTGAATCATAGTTCATGTTATTGTCCTTTGTTTAGTGAGTTATCCATATATACAGTATCACTTATTTTCCATATAGTCTCCTACATGGGTTTGCAAAGTTATTTTCCTACCAATGCTTTCAAAATTAATAAATATACAATGCATGTTATCTTTTCCATGTGTATTAGCAAAATTCATTATCAGTTAGTTTATTTAAAGGCAGCTTTCTGCCACATTAAATCTATGTGTTCTAGAAACATACAATGCCTCTTGGTTACTCAAGTCAAATCTATATTAAACGTTAACATTCCTAGGAGAAGTCTCATAGCTTCCCATTTCAGAGACACTCTAACCCTTTTCTGTTCCCTCTCTTCCCTATTTCTCAACACTTTGGAACTGTGCTATGCTGGGAGAATTTGTAGTAGTTAATATTGTTCATTGTCTGTCTACTTTTCACTTTTATTTATTTATTTATTTATTTTTTGAGACAGGGTCTCACTCTGTCCTCTGGGCTAAAGTGCAATAACGTCATCATAGCTCACTGTAGCCTCAAACTTCTGGGCTCAAGTGATCTTCCCACCTCAGCCTCCCATAGTGCTGGGACTGAAGGTGTGCACTACCATGCTCAGCTAAATTTAAATTTTTTGTAGAGAGGGATCCTGCTGTGTTGCCCAAGCTGGTCTTGAACTCCTGGCCCCAAGCGATCCTCCTGCCCCAACCTCCCAAAGTGATGGGATTACAGATGTGAGCCATTATGCCAGGCCCACTTTTCACTTTAAATAATTTCTTAGATAGCTTAAAATTTACTTCCTAGATGATTTTCTTTATTCCTATCCAGCTAGTGATCCTAATAAGCTAGAGTAGCAATCTACAAGTGGGATGGATGTACCCTTTACGGGATATGTAGGATAATCTATTAGAATCCAGGAAGAAATATTAGAATTTTTAGAATTTTTTTATCTCATTATTTTAAATTTCTGTTTTAGTATATTTCCTTATGTACACAATATATTAGTCAACAGTATGATAACACATGTGTATAATTCATAAATATATGTGCATATAATGAAATGCATAATTAGAAAATTCACTTGATACAGATATGAAATCAAAAAGAGTATGAAAACCTTTGAGCTGGAAGTCATGTCTGTCAAATGGCCATCTTGCATTTCCAGCACAAGTTATAGTGGCTACTTAATATAGAAATATTTTACAATATTTTTAAAGACCTGATATATGTCAAATGAGCAAATATGTGTTTTTTATATGTAAGTATAAGTATATATAAGTATATAATATAAGTAACTTCATAATATGTAAATTGCAATTGCTCATTAGCTAAACTATGTGGATATGAAGTTGTTCACAATTTATTCATTTTTAGTACATTAAGACTTCTGTAGTTTAAGTGAATGGTATATGTAATGTTACTGGTTAATTATTTTGAAGGCTTTCAATATGGCAATATGTTAACAATTTTAAAGTTAAGGTTCTCAAGCCTGGTTTTAGTTAGATTTTTATAAAGATTAATTTTTCAATTATCTATCATTAAAAAAACTTAAGATTTAATGAAATATTAGTATAAGTCATACTTATAGAGTATGATATAATTGGCTGGGCCTGGTGGTTCATACCTGTAATCCCAGCACTTTGGGAGGCTAAGGTGGGAGGATCACTTGAGGCCAAGAGTTTGAGTCTGCAATGAGCTATGATCATGCCATTTCATTCTAGCCTGGGCAACAGAGTGATATCCTATTTCTTGAGAAAAAAAATATGATAATTGGACACTTTTATAATTTTAATAAATGATTTTAAATATCATAATATTTGTAATCTATGATAAATTTGTGGTAAAACTTCATTTGTTTTCTGAGAAATTTTAAATTAATTTTAGGACAAAACTTAAAATTGCATGTAAGTTCATATATTCTTATTTTTTTCATAGTGATAAAAACAAGAGAAGAACTAAAACAGTAAAGAAAACATTGGAACCCAAATGGAACCAAACATTCATTTATTCTCCAGTCCATCGAAGAGAATTTCGGGAACGAATGCTGGAGATTACTCTTTGGGATCAAGCTCGAGTTCGGGAGGAAGAAAGTGAATTCTTAGGAGAGGTATCTGAAATTATTTTAAAGTTTATACTATTCATGTCATCCTCAATACTTTTTGTTCATATTACTATCAGTGAAATTTTATATTTAGTATATCTGAAAAGGTAGGCATAATTTCTTTAACAGTATGAATTTAGCTACTGCTTTAAGAGAAAACTTATTGATACCAGAGAAAACAATGGTTCTAAATACTCTTTGACAGTTTTACATAGTTATTCTTAATATAGAAATTTCAGTGTTGAATGATAAAAGGTTGCTTTCTATTTCACAAATATATTGTTTTGTTTTATAGTGTTGTATATATCTTAGTTAGATAACCAACTGAACTACTAGCAAGTAGTTCACTCATTTATTTATGGATTATTTTTAAAACTCTGATGTACCAGGCACTGTGCTAGGAACTGAGGCTTCAAAGGTGAATAAGGCATAATAGTTACTTCAAGGGATTTAAAATCCATTGGTGATAGAGACAAGTGAATAGCAATTATAATATTGCATACCCTTTGCTATAAAGGGAAAAATGCCATAGGAATACATAATTGCTGCATAAGGGAGGGGGTGGTGGTTAAGAGAAATTTCCACAAAGAAAGAGGAATTTAGCAAAGTCAAGGGAAACAAAATTCATGCAGAGGGAAATAACTAGACATCATGGGTGATGGATATTAGACAACTGCATTGAAATTGCAAGGGAAAGTGGTAAGAAATGAGATTTGAGGGTTAAACTGACTCTAGATCATGCTGTTAATATATTAAGAAATTTGGATTTATCCTGTGGATAATGGGAACCAATGACCAATAACCAATTCTCTTTAATAAGACAATGGTTTGTTTGCATTTGTACTTGAGAAAAGTATTTCCAGCTCTAATGTGGAGAATGAATTGAAGAGGGGCAAGATGGAAAGCAATTATCCAACTATTAGCATACTAAGTTATCCACTTTCAGCCTTTTTCAGTATGGTTGGTTTTCCTGAGTAAATTAAATGATATGTCTTGGGTAAAACGACAATCTGTGGAAATATTGAATGTTGTCATTTAAGGAACCAATGAGTGATAAACCTAAAAATCATTTGTGAAGAAGGGTAACACAGTTGTTAGGAACAGAGACTCTGGAGCCAGCTGCTAGACCTTTACATTCTTGGCACTACTACTTCCGAGCGTTGTGTCTCTGAGCAAGTTATTTAACCCATCTGTACTTCAGTTTCCTCTTTTTAGCCAACTGGAAATAGCACTATTATACAACTCAGGGTTAATATGAGAATTAAATAAGTATGTTGTGTGTGTGTGTGTGTGTGTGTGCGTGTGTGTGTGAGTAAACATTGGGAACATAGTGCCTGTAATTTTGCAAATGACTAGGGAAAGTTTACAAAGAATGAAATAATAATTTAGCTGTTTTGCTTCTTTACCTCGTATAGCTGAATAGTAATTTATCTTTTTATAGCAGTTCTTATAAACAAAAGCACAAACACTTTAATACTTGTACAACACCCTAAAAGAAAATAGTCATTTATATTTACAGAGTGATTTCTTTTGTAAATTTTTAAATATTTATATCATAAAATCCATGTTATAATATGGTTCACATTAAAAGTCCATCCTTTTTTCCCCTTTCTGGTTTTATTTATTTATCTATTTATCTTCTATCTTTGAGACAGGGTCTCACTCTGGTGCCCAAGCTGGAGTGCAGTGGTGCAACCATAGCTCACTGCAGCCTTGAACTCCCTTGGCTCAAGAGATATTCCTGCCTTGGCCTCCCAAAGTACTGGGATTACAGGCACGAGCCATCATGCCCCCTTTTGTGTTTTAAATCCTTGGCAGCATGGTATAGTGAACACGGAATTTTAAATAAGATAGACTGATTCATATTACAGTTCTCTCGCTTGCAAGCCTGTGTGACCTTATACAAGTTCTTTTAACCTTTTTAGCCTTGGTATCCTTATTTACAAACATTAAATAATAAGACAAAATTAGTAGTTTTCTTCCGATATTATGAAAAATAACATGACATGGTTAAAAATACACAGTAAGCACTTCAAATTTGTTTTTCTCTCCCTATTTAAAAGTTCTTTTTAAAAAGTTTTTTTATTTCAAAATATTAAGGGGTACACATGTTTTTGGTTACATGGATCATTTTTGTAATGCTTGAGTCACAGCTATGTGTGCCCACCACCCAAATAGTGTTCGTTGTATCCATTAGGTAGGTTTTTGCCCCTTTCCCCCTCTCGCCTCCCCCTACTTGATTTCCACTGAGTTTTATTTCCCTCTATGCACATGTGTGCTCATTGGTTAGTTTCAATTTAATAGTGAGTACATGTGGTGTTTGTTTTTCCATTCTTTAGATACTTCACTTAGGATAATGGTCTCTAGTTCCATTCAAGTTGTTGCATGTAAAGGTTAAATTAGTGACTGTAAGTAAAGGTGCTTTATAAGTGATAAAATGATATTAGGTATTATCATAATAATTTTTTAATAAAAAGTATTATTTCTATAGTGGTAAATTTGACAGCTTTTATTAGTTGGATGATCAAGGGCCAACAAAATAAATATCTTAAATATGTGAAAGTATTAACTCACTAGGAAGTTGTAAAATTTATCTTTTTTTATTGTCAAAACATATTGACCATTTTGCAACATCTAAATAAGCTTGCTTTGATCTAATAGCATTGCTGTCATAATTATTACTACAAAAGTTATTAATATAAGACCACTTACTAGACTTTCTTTATTATTGTTATATTATAACAGTCCTTTGTATCTTGGTTTGTAGATTTTAATTGAATTAGAAACAGCATTATTAGATGATGAACCACACTGGTACAAACTTCAGACCCATGATGTCTCCTCATTGCCACTTCCCCACCCTTCTCCATATATGCCACGAAGACAACTCCATGGAGAGAGCCCAACACGGAGGTTGCAAAGTAAGTTTTCATTAAAATTTATCATGTTTTTATTGAATTCCTAATTTTCAGTGATATATCTAACACAAAATTTGTGTTATCAACAGGCATCTGTTAGTCTTTGCATAGCTATTATGGAAGCTTTTGAAATGTTTGATACACTAAATAATGTTTTTCCCCTAGCACTCATCACAGTGTTAAAGTGTTTTATGGTTGTATTTTGGATGATATGGCCCCAAATAATCACAGTTATGTTTGAATCTTAGTGCTTAGAATCCTAAATATGGGAATGTGACAGCTAATACAGTAGAGTTTTGTCATATAGCTATAGACACACAAAATTATGATTTCTACCTTCATCATCTAAGTATTTTATGAATATGTGTGTAGCAAGGATAGCATAGTGATTGAAACCATAAACTGTAATCTCAGACTAACTTGCATTTAAATTGTGATTCTTTCACTTTAGAGAGCTGTCTGACTTGAGGCAGATCATCTCTCTGTACCTCATTTTTTCCCTAATCTATAAGATGGAAATTTTAATACCTATATACTAAGTGGTTATAAGAATTAATTAATCTCAAGAATATAAATTGATTTTGTTATTGTTGTTCTTGCTATTATCAACATTTGCATTTTACCCTGGATTATATTAATATATAGTTTGAACCATAAAATAGATCAATCCAGAGGAGCTTAAAGTAAACTCAGAAATATTTTCCAGATTAATATGTGAAATTGTTGGCTCTTTGCCCTTACTACTCAGGTCCTTTTTTTTTTTTCCTGATGAATCTATTATTGGAAGGTAAGATGGATCTTGCTGTTTCAGATAGTATTCATGGGGTAGTTCTTTATGGAGTTAGGATGTTCTAGATTAAACATTTTTGTCAAGTACTATAGGACTGATGGACATTAACCAAATTTTAGAAGTTAAATTTATAAGCACAAATGCTGTGTCACTTACTAATCATGAGAAGTATACCTGGCAGCACAACAAATAGCTATTGTCTATGTGGATCATACCATTCCTGCTGAATGGGGGCCAAATTATATGTCGGAAGGCTGTTTGATGAGTAGAGAATTAGAGCAAACAATTGGCCCTATGGGATGTTTAGTTAGTTATAGATAAGTCTACAGAATTATCTTCACTACTTTTAAAAATAATCTCTCTAATGACTGGAATTTTATTTCCCCTAAATACCATTTTGTACACTAGATGGTATTAATTGAATGCTAATTCTACAGCATTTACTTTTTTCAGTCTTCTCACACAGAAAACACCAACACATCTCTATTTATAAAAGCCCTTACAACATCCTTTGTTGTAATAATTACAACATTACAATGAATTTTATGTGAACTAATCTTATTCTTTCTGACCACTATAATCTATTCAGAACATTCTCTCCAAATTACAGTGTAGAATGGTGGGTTACTATGTGATGCTTAATAATATATGTAGTAAGCTATTATAATTCATTATGTACCAGTTCTTATTAGTTTATGTTTATAGACTATTAATGCTAGCCAGCATTGCCCTTATAGAGTTGGCATTTTCTCCACTTCAGTTTTTATTGCAATAACTAGTAGGTTTGGGGATTCTCAACACCAGAAACTCTTAAATCTACCAACAGTTTTCATTTTTTCCCCTTGCTAATTAGAAATAGTGAATATTTGGAGCAATGAGATTAGAGTACTATCTAGTTAGCTGTTTGTGTCATGAATTTTCATGCAAATAATTTAATGTAATCAGCCTTAAAACTTTTAATATTTCCCATCTTCAAAATGACTCTGCTGTTACTTAGTCATTAATAGTATTAATATACTCATGAGTAATATAATGGCTCTGTGCTGTACTATGTCAGTTTTCTCACTGCCAATTAACCTCTAATAAATATTTTATTAATAATGTGTAGGCATGAAGATAAGTAAAAAGCTGCTCATACATATAAAAGAAAGAAACAAAAACTAGGAAATCATATTTATGAATAGACAGAAAGTTAAAAGCATTACCATTAGCCAAGGATATATTTCTCATAAATGGCAGGTACAAGTCAAGATATGAATAAGTAAATATACTAATAATTTTAAAACTTTATTGATGACAGAAACCCCCTTAAGGGTTTTCTCCATGGAGAGGGTATGTATTGTAGTTATTTATGTTTTGTATTGTCAAAACTCATGATGATTAACATATTTGATGGAGCAAATGCTCTAACAGTTATCATTAAAAGAGTATAATAATCCTCATTTGTTCCCTACATCTACATAATAGGATGTTTTGGTACTTCAACCTCTGATACTATGAAAATCACAATTAAGGCTATGAGCTTATTGAATGAACGTGGGTATTTACTGATAATGTCTCAAAAAGTGCATCATGGGAGAAGTGAGCTTGCTTTTTGAGATGGCAAAATTTCTAAAATTTTCACTAGATTTTTTTACTCATTAATGAGAAACTTCATTTGTTACCATTTTGGAACATAAGGAGATTGTTTGGAAGTATTTTGATATTGAGGTTTTTATTGTTATGTATTCTGTACTGTTTTTCAGTCAAAATTGTAGAGTCTGAAGAAAAAATCTCCCTGATAACATGAAGGGAGATTAACATAAGTTATATTAATAGATATTTGTTTATTGAAAACTTACTAACTATTCTTATCACAATTTGAGCTATGAAGATCCAATCAGAGTTTTAATTTGATTTTTAATTCTTTTCTTTTTCTCATATCAACCAGATTTATCTCTTTCACTTCTGAAATGTTAATTCTTTACTTGGTAAAACAATATTATCATCCCTTTCACTTTTTCTTTTTTTTTTTATTTCGGCATATTATGGGGGTCCAGATTTTAAGGTTTTAATAAATGCCCTTCTCCCCTCCCCCCCAAAAGTCTGAGTCTCCATCATGACCATCCCCCAGATGGTGCACTTCTCACTCATTATGTATGTATATACCGCCCCTCCCCCTCCCACCTGCCAATACCCTATTACTGTAGTACCTATGTGTCCACTTAGGTGCTACTCAGTTAATACCAGTTTGCTGGAGAATATATCTGGTGCTTGTTTCTCCATTCTTGGGATACTTCACTTAGTAGTATGGGTTCCAGCTCTAACCAGGAAGATATAAGATGTGCTATATCACCATTGTTTCTTAGAGCTGAATAGTACTCCATGGTATACATATACCACATTTTATTAATCCATTCTTGGATTCATGGACACTTGGGCTGTTTCCACAGCATTGCAATTATGAATTGTGCTGCTATAAACATTCGAGTGCAGGTGTCTTTTTTGTAGAGTGTCATTGGATCATTTGGGTAGATGCCCAGCAATGGGATTGCTGGATCAAATGGTAGATTCACTTGTATCGCTTTAAGGCATCTCCATGCTGATGGGATTTTAATAGGTATTGCATTGAATCTGTAGATCAGTTTGGGTAGTATAGACATTTTGATGATATTGAGTCTGCCGATCCACGAGAAGGTATGGATTTCCATCTGTTTCCATCCTCTGCTATTTCCTTCCTCAGTGTTTCATAGTTCTCCCTGTAGAGGTCTTTTACATCCTTGGTTAAGTACATTCCTAGGTACTTTAATTTTTTTTGTTGCTATTGTGAAGGGAATTGAGTCTTTGATTTGGTTCTCAATTAGATTGTTGTTGGTGTATATGAATGCCTCTGATTTCTGTGTATTGATTTTATATCCTGAGACTTTACTAAATTCATTGATCAGTTCCAGGAGTTTTCTTGGTGAATCTTTGGGTTTTTCTAGATACAATATCATATCATCAGCAAACAGTGAAAGTTTGATCTCTTCTGCCCTATTTGGATACCTTTGATTCATTTTCCTGTCTGATTGCTGTAGCCAAGACTTCCAGCACTATGTTGAACAGAAGTGTAGATAGTGGGCAGCCTTGTCTGGTTCCAGTTCTAAGTGGGAATGATTCATTCAATTTTTCCCATTCAGTATGATGATGGACTATGGGTCTGTCATTATAGGCTTGTAATCAAGTTTTAGTTTCTATGCCTTAGTTTTTTTGTGTTCTTATGAACGGTATCTATTTTGAACGCTTTTCTGCATCTATTGAAAGAATCATGTGGTCTTTGTTTTTGCTTCTGTTTATGTGGTGAATTGCATTTATAGATTTACTTGATTGACATCCTGCATCCCTGGGATGAAGCCCACTTGGTCGTGGTGGATTATTTTTTGATAAGTGTCTGGATTCTTGTAGCTAAGATTTTGTATATATTTTTGCATCTATATTCATTAGGGATATGGTCTGTAGTTTTCTTTTTTTGTTGCATCCTTTCCTGTTTTGGTATCAGAGTAATATTCGCTTCATAAAAGGTGTCGGGGGGGTTTCCGTTCTTCTCGATGTTGTGGAATAGTTTCTGCAAGATAGGTACTAGTTCTTCTTTGTAAGTGTGGTAAAATTCAGGTGTGAAGCCATCTGGACCGGGACTTTTCTTTTTAGGGAGATTTTTAATTGCTGTTTCTATTTCAGCTGTTGAGATTGGTCTGTTCAGGGAATCTATTTCTTCCTGGTTGAGCCTAGGGAGGCTGTGTGTTTCTAGAAATTTGTCCATTTCCTCCACATTTTCTAGTTTGTGTGCATAAAGATTAAGTAGCTGCGGACTTGGGGAGGGTGGAAAGAAGCGAGGCCCGCTCCAGACTACGGGTCTCAGACAGCCCCGCCCCCACACTCAGACTTTCTAGCTGAGTGGGACCATTCCAGCCCTGCCCTGACAGCTTTCCCTGGAAACAGAGAACAGAACATTGACCCCTGCTAACGGCCTGAGGGCAGGCTTACACAAAATCAACAGCATAGCCTGTTCCTCCAAGCAAACGCCACCTACTGACAGGGATGGCATCCTGCACAGCCTTTCCACGGCACCCACTGACTCAATATACAGGGAGTGGTCCAATTTCATCCACAGACACCACCTAACGCCTCAGAAACTAAACAAGGTGTGTGAATACCCAAACAATAACTTAAGGAAAGAAACAACAACTTATCGACA